TAAAATTAGCCAGTTTTCAAGATTTTTAAAAATATATTTTTATTAAACATGTATTATGATTAACATGTATTAACTGTATATATTAATGGAGTATGATATTTAGTATGATATTTCAACACATGATTTCAATATCCACTGATCAAATCAAGGTGATTAGCAGTTTTTTCTCCTTATCATTTTTTTGTTCACCTATGAAGTCAGAGCTTTTTGTTTTTTGTACTGGGAATTGAACTCATGACCTCATGATTGCCAATCAGACACTGTGCGGCTGAGCTGTGTCCTCAGCCTCTGGAGTCAGAGTTTTTTTGATTTAAAAAACTTTCAGTTGATCTGGTTATCATAACTAAAGTAAATGTTATGTAATATAAATGTAAAAAGAAAGCATACATTAAATTTTTTGAAAGAAAAAGAAAAAAAAAAAAGAAACTTAATGGAGCTAGTACTGAGGGCTGAGATGTATTGATATGTCCCTCTGGTATGATCTTTATTGTTTTAATTTTTTTGTATACTTAATTCATCTTCTTGGGATTTTTACTTTTTGAGCCTACTTAGTAGTTTGTATCTTCCTAGAAAATTGTTCAGTTTATTTAGTTAGGCATTCCAGTAAAACTGTTTAAACCTTAAAATATTTAAAACTCTCATGTTTTTTCATTTGTTATTTTGTTGGTCATTTCCTACTTTTTTTTCCCTCTGTCCGTCTTCCTTCCTTTCTATCTCTGTGTCTGTGTCTGTCTCTGCCTCACTCTTACATTCACTCTCACTCTCAATTTCATTCTGTCTCTTTCCTTCCAGTATTGAGGGCCCCAGTACTCTACACCCCTGCAGGTCTTGCTGCCTTGCCCTGGATAGACTTGAACTTTGGATCCTTCTGCTTCAGCTTCCCAAAGTGCTGGCATTATAGACATGTACTATCACCCCCAGCTGTTTTTCCCAACTTCCTAATTGAATGGTTTCTCTAAATTTCTAAATTGCCTAGGCTGGGTTTACATTTGCAGTCTTCTTGCCTCAACTTCCTATAATACTGGGATTATGGGCATGTGCCACCACACCCTTGTTAATTTTTTTCATGAAGTACTTAACATATTTCTCCCTGTCTCTGGGTGACTCTTTGAGTATCTGTATAAGTCTTGTATTATAGTATCAAAAGATACCTTGACTAGAAGTAGTATTCTGGGTTCATATTTATTTTCCTTTAACATTTAGCATTTGGCATTCCTGGAAAGAAGTTTCATTACCAGTCTGATTACTTGTTCCTTTTAGATAATACAGATTTTTCCTGAAGTTTGGAGGTTCTCCTTATTCTTTGTATACTGAAGTTCATCACAGATCATATAGTTGCATGTATTAATCTGCTTGGACTCAGGGCTTATATGTTTTCCAGTTCTGAGAAATTTTAGATCATGATTTGCTCATCTATATAGTAATAGTCCCTCTTATATTTCCTCTTATTTTTTTGCTCTGTATTCTCCAAGAAGTACTGAACTCAACCTTTCAGGTTACCAATCTTTAGGTCATGTGGTTCTTCACAACAGTCCATGGTTAATTGCTTATTTTTTGGGATTGTAGGTTGAAGAACACATGTTATATTTTATGTTTGCAACTTATAGACAAGCTATATTGTAGAATTTTCAGTTTTTCTTTGTGACCTTTCTTAATTAAAGTTCCAGTTTTTACTGTATTCATAATTAGTTATATTAAATAATTCATATTAGTAATGTTTAATTGTTCATGGATGGGGTTTCCTTCGTTAAATCATTGAAGATATCAAATATAATTAAAATTATTTTCAGGATTCTCTTATTTTCTTATTAAAGCTTATTAGTCTGGTAAGCTTGTTTTCATTTTCATGTTGTACTTTCTTCAGATTTCAGGTGTTCTTTGTCTCCTTTGTGTGGTTTCCTGCCCATCCTTTTTTTGTTATTATGCTTGACATTTCCTTTGTAGCTTATCATCTGCCTACTTTCCCCAGACAGGCTTGACAGACTTTGTACATAGGTATTTTTGTGTTCACAGTGACCATATATATTTGAAGTGTGCTAATATTTTTATGAATTGGTGTGGAAATGGTGGAATTTACCACTTGGTGACTTACATCTTGAGAATGTAGGGTTTTTTTGTTTACTTTTTGACCATTTTATTCTTCCACTAAGGGTATTAAGGAAATAATCATGTGAATGTAATATTTTTATTCAGGGTTATCATACTGAAAAAAACTCAAAAAACTAAAACAGTGTAAATATCCAGCATAGGGTTCATTTATATTATTCATTAATTTATAACTTATAAAACCTTTAATGTGTGGAGTATTTATGCAATTATATTTTGTAGCCATTTAGTCATATAAAAATATTAACGAGGGAAAGTGCAGAATGTTACTGGTGAAACAGTATGAAAATTTATATACAGTAAAATTCAGATTTTGTTTTGAAATTATGTTCTGAAAGAATATTAATTTCTAACATTTGTTGAGTCCTACACCTGTCAGGCACTATTTTATATAGTTAAGTCTTATCATCACAGCTTATGAGGCAGCATTTTTATCCCTAATTAGAATGTTTTAAAGTACTTGTAGGAATTGTTTATTTTATTTTTTTGTTTTTCGTGCAGGGTCTCATAGACTCATAGCGATCCTCCTGTTTTCAGCCTCCCCAGTGCTGGGATTACAGGTGCGTGCCACAAAACTGGGATTTGGTCACTGGATCAACCTGCCGTGGGGCGGGGCCAGTGTGACATGATGCCAGGGATCTAACTCCAGCTTGCTTAAGCAGGCACTTAATCTGCTGAGCTATCTTGCCAGCCCTAGGAATTGTTTAATTGTTGATTAATAGTATGTGTTAGTCAATAAATGTTAAATATGGGTGACAGAATTATGGGTAATTCTTAATTATTGGTAATTTTGTTATTTTGCACATTTTTTAGTTATTTGTGTTTTTTTAAATACTGATTTATACTGTTTCAAAAAATAGAGTTGTTATGCTAACAGTATCTTTTTCCCTTGTATGTTTGTGCTTTACAAATGCGTATCATTTTTTATTGTTTTCTATACAGAATGTCTCATGCATTTGTGGACCAAAAGATGGAGTTCATTTTAAAAAGATACTGTTGTTGGTCCATCTTGAAAGTTTCTTCAACCACAGTTTCAAGTCTCAAAGAAGATTGTGTTGTGTTTAAAATGGCATAATTTATTTTCTCTGAAGACTGCAGATTTTAGAGACAATTGTTGCATTACAGTTATACTCTCACCAGTGTGATTCATATCATTCGGTCTCAATAAACTTAATTTTGAAGAATTTTATACCTACAAGCAACACCAAAAGATGGGAGAAAAAAATGGTAGGTTGAAAAACACATGTTATATTTTATGTTTACAATTTATAGACAAGCTATATTGTGGAATTTTCAGTTTTTCTTTGTAAGTGACCTTTCTTAATTAAAGTTCCAGTTTTTACTGTATTCATAATTAGTTATATTAAATAATTCATATTAGTAATGATAAGCAGTAATGTTAAGAGCTTTGATATACTTTAAAATTTTTTAATGGTACTGGAGATTGAACCCAGGTCTTTCACACCAAGGTAGATTTCAGACCCTTTTTATTTTTTATTTTGAGATAGGGTCTCACTAAATTGTTGAGACAGGACTTGATTGTAGTCCTGTGTTGGGCTCTCTTGTGTCAGCACTATAGCTATGTGCCTCTCTACCCAGCTTCTAATGTTTTTAAAAAAGAAATGACTTTTTAGAAAAATTAAAAAAAAAATTTTATGCTAAAGGAATAGTTCAAAGAGTCACCATATGCCCATCACTCAGCTTTACCTGTGACTAACATCTTATTAGATGATACATGTTAAATTAACAAACCCATATTGTTACATCATTTACTAACATCTATAGTTTATTAGAACTTACATGTATTTTACTCTCTGAGGATTCTATGTAGAATATTATACTACATTTACTTTTCTTGTCTCTCTGACTCATTGTGTGATTTTATATCCAAGTATTTTGTGGGATACCCCTCTGATGGAATTACTGTGATTTTTCTCATGACTGGAGTAGGATTATGGGTTTTGAGGAGTGAGGTCACAGAAGTAAAATGCCATTTTCATCACATACTAAGCTATATCACCTGGCTAATATAGGTTGTGTTATCCATTTTTCCCACTATGAAGTTACTCTTTATTTTCTCCTACTTCTTACTGTACCTTTTGGAAATAAATCATTATTTGTACCCCATATATAAAAAGTACTTACACTCCTTGCAAGTAGGATATCTCCATGAATTATTTAGAATCCTCCTGCAACAGAGATTTGTCTCTCCTCAGTTACCCATTCAGTCACTTATATATTTATATCAGTAGTTATATTTACATCAATAGATATATTTACATCAGTGGATATGTGTTTTATACTTTGCATTAGAATCCAGTACTACTTGTTTGTTTTTATTTTTTAACACCTTATTTTCTTTTTTTTCCCATAATTTTATTGATAAACAAATAGCAATGAGACAATTGCAAATCAAATAACACCTTATTTTCTAGTACTAGAAAATATTTAAGGTTCATATTGTATGTTTTTTATGCCAGTCCTTGAGTCAACCATTTCTTGAATGAGCTCTGGTTCCTTTTATTAGAAACCAAGATCTGGACAACAGAGGCTTAATGGGTCTCTTGCTTAGAGGCCCTCTTATCTGATAGAGTAGGAAAATACTTGTTTATAACATGTATAAATGCACATATTTATAAATATTTGTGTGACTGTATATTAAACTCATAGGAATTTATATAATGATTCCCACTCTAGTCCCTTGCCACATGGCTCATTTTAGTCTTCTTTCCTTGCTTATCTATCTGTAAACTCCCACTCCAGTAATGAGAACCTTCCAGTAGTGAGAAACTTGGTTTTTACTACCTGTCATCCATTTACTTAATTGTTCAGTTCCCATCTATATGTATAGCATTTTCAGAATTATAAATCCTTTCCAGAGTCAGCATCTTTTTTGCCCTTCAGTGAGGTCATTTATGCATTTGTAATAGTTACATTCTTTTACAGACTGCATTCCTTACTGAATTTCTGAATTTTTTGTTTTTTAAAAATTTATATATATTAAAGCTCATTCTTGGCTCTTTAAAATTATGTTTTTTGACAAATTATAACATTACAGTATTACACAGAACAGTTTTGCTGCCATAGAGTATGTTTTCACTGTCATGATATAGGCCAGTGGCCCTCAAACTTTTCTTGGTCTTAAAACTTACATACTCTTTAGAGTATTGAAAACCCTAAATAGTTTTTCTTTATGTAATGTCTGTTGATACTTAACTATGTTAGAAGTTAAAACTAAAAAGTTTCAAATATAGTAATTGGCTCATTTTTAAGAAAAGAACAAATTCAGCATGTTAAAAGTAAGAAAAAGTAACTTTTCAGGTAAGGACAAGGTTGTTTTACATCATTACAAATACCTTTTTAATACCTGGCTTAGTAGAAGAGAAATTCTCATATTTGCTTCTGCATTTGAACTACTGGGTTATGTTGCCATGTTTGAAACACACAAAGACAATGAAGTTTTACACAGGAAATTGGAAAGGGGAAAGCATTTTAATGGCTTTTCATATAGTTGTTCGTATTTTTCTATTATAATTACAAAACTGAACAAGTATTCATTCCTTAAAAGTCAGTTGGCCCAGACAGTTGTTTTGTGTTTTGTTTTGTTTTGGTGTTGCGGATTGAACTCAGGACCTTGTGCTTGCAAAGCAGGCACTTAAGCCTCTGTACTATCTCCCTGGCTCTTAAGTCATTTGGAATGTGGGATCTGAACTCATCAGTTTTTACAGTTACATTAAGATTTATTGGTTTATTTTCTACTTGTACCTTTTCTATATGTGATTAACAATGTCTTCTGATGCTATTTTTAAAATAATGGTTCAGAAAATTGCTGACAATTTCCATCATATAATATAAAAAAATCACATTTGTCAATATTTTTACTGATCTCGTTTAAAGAGACAAACTCCAGATAGGACAGTGTTGAATGAGTCTGAAAGTTTTGTTTTGTATGTATGGTACTAGGGCTGAATCCAGGGCCTCATACCACTGACCTATAAACCCCAGCCCAATTAGTTAATTTTTAATTAACACAAAAACTATGTATTTGGACTGGGTATGGTGGCACAGAGCTGTAGTCCCAGCACTTGGGAGGCTGAAGCTTGAGGATTATGGTAAGTTCAAGGCCAGTCTGGCCTATATAGTTAGTTCAAGGCTAGTCTGAATCACACAGTGCAAGCCTATCTCCAAAAGAAAAAAGTGTGTGTTTATGGTGTATGCTCTAATGTTTATTAGGTGTATATATTTCTTTGTAGTGAAAACATTCAGAAAATATTTTGTAGTTTCTTTTGAAATGTATAATATATTATCTATAGTCACCTACTGTGCAATAGAACACCCTAACTGTAAGTTAGAATATGTTCATCAACCTTTGCTCATCCTTTTCTCCTCCCTACTCTCTCCAGCTTCTTGTAACCAGTATTCTGTCAGCTTCTTTGAGATCAGCATATTTATAGTCCATATGAGTGAGATCATACAGTACTACCTTTTCTGTGCCTGGCTTAGTACACTTACTGTAATATCCTACTTATACTCTTATACTGTATGGCTGAATAGTAATCTGCATGTGCAAGTACATTGTCTTTCCTGCCTCCTTCCATGTTGCATATCTTCTTTCATCCCCCCTTGAATTGTCACCTGTTCCCTTCATTTTGCACCTAATTGAATAGCACTACTAGCTATATGGTTTCTTGAGACAGAAAGATGGAAATCACTCTTAATTCCTCCTGCCACCACCTGAGTGTGTTGTTTTGTTTCTGCTTGAGGTACTGGCAATTGAACTTTTGCACTGAGCTGCATCCCAGCCCCATTATTGCTATTATTGTATTTGAGACAGTCGCGGTAAGTTGCCCATGTGCGGCTCAAACTTGTGATTCTCTTGCCTCAACCTCCAAAAAGTACTAGGATTACAGACCTGTACTACTACGCCTTTACAGAGTGATCTAAGAAATATAACCTGTTCACATCATAAGATATTCCACCTCTTGAGTTGTCTTCCATATAAAAGTAAAGTTGCTTATCATGATGCATACAACCCTTCCTCTCATAGCTCTGTTTACTCCTTGTCATGCATTCTGTCTGTCCTCTCACATTGCATTTATTTCAAATCTTGAAACCCATGAGGAATTAAAGTAGACTTTATCTCATGTAGTACACATCAGGCCAGAGTGTTAACAGGGAAACATCACTCCTGAGGCTACTTGGTGGCAGCAACCCTAATTAGGTGGAAAATACCTTGGGAAAGATGATTTTTCCCAGTGTGAATTAGGACTCCAAGGAGCAGGCCCCTTGTGAAAATTCTGCCTCTCTTGCAAGGTTGGAGGTTTAGGGTTTAATGTTTATCAAGGAAAAGAAGAACAAAAAATATATATGGAGACAGACCATCAGGAAATGTATACACACTTTAGCAATTCACTGTACTAATAAATGTCTCTGAAGCTAATGGCTGCCACTCTTGAGTACCTCTTGTAAGTTTTGAGGCCAGAGGTAAGTTAATCTCATGATGCCTCAGTGAATTTAGTGTTTAAATATTTATTCAAACTTTTCTTTCCCTGATGTATACATTTTTTGGCACACTGTATATGTGTATGTATATGATATATACACATTATATATGACATATATATAATTTTTTATTTTAAGTTCTTTTCTCATTAATCTACTAACTGCTATGCAGGTGGCCTTCCTAGGCAAGCACTATATCACTTTATCAATCTCAGCCCTCTCAAGTGACCTTTCAAAAATATAAATATTAGGGCCAGCCAGATAGCTCAGTGGATTAAAGCATGTGCTTAGGCAGACATCGGGACCAGGGTTCAATCCCCTGCGTGCTGTGCTAACCCCACCCTCGGGGCATGCTGAGAAGGCGATTGAGACTGGGCATGGTGGTTCGAGCCTATAATCTTAGTGCTTGGGAGGCTGAAAACAGGAGGATCACTATGAATCTGATCTACATAGTGAGACCTTGTAAACCCTGTACTAAATATATTTTTAAAAATATTTTAAAAACCCAAGGCCAGTCTGAACTGCCTAGCAAGGCCATATCTTAAAAAGGAAAAAAAAAAAAAGATGTTATCTTTACATAATGTTCCTTGCAAAAAAAATCTTGATGGGTATCAAATATTGGTTGAGTTTCATATAGTGAAGGCTTATATAAGAATTTTTTCTAGAAGCAGTATTGGCAGGCATGGTGGCACATACTTGTACCAGTGAACCCAGGTAATCACAAGGCAGCGACAGGAGATTCCCATGTGCAAGGACAGATGAAAAACTCAGCAAGACCTTGCCTCAAAAAAGTTTTAAAAAGGCTGGGGACATGTGTCACTGGTAGAACACTCCCACGTTGAATCCCCTAGACTAGCAAAGGCAGTATTTTTGGGCATTAGTTATATGAGATAATTCGTTCTGGAATTACTTCTATGTTTGCCATAGGTTGTATCCCTGAAACTTTAAAAATGCATGTTATCTATGCATATGTCTCACTACCACTCTGTATTAATGTTACCCTTTGTAGTGTCATCGAAGACATAGGAGTGCATGTGTGTTTTATTTTTGTGATGGTGGGAGTGGAATTCAGACCCTCATGCATAGTAACCAGACACTACCACAGAGCCACAGCCCCAGATCACACTTATTTTTTTAAGATAAGAGAAATAGAAGCGATACTTGAATATATTCTTTGTAGTTCCTTAAAAGGAGATATGACTAAAATTTTTTTCTTTCAGGATAGTGATAAATTGAATATTGATTTTATTGAGAAATAAATAGATCTTTCAGTAACAATGCCTTAAGGAAATTAGTCTATTTCTATTAAACTCTTAGACCATTCATTCCTTTTTATTATAGGTGATGCAAGAAGTTTCTGGATGGAGCTAGAAGATGATGGAAAAGTGGACTTCATATTTGAAAAGGTACAAAATGTGCTGCAGTCTCTGAAACAAAAGATCAAAGATGGATCTGCCACAAATAAAGGTATGAAGAAGTAAAAGGACTTCAGTAAGCTTAAGCAACATAGTACTGTAATTTTAACAGTAGTTAAAAACCAAATAATTTCAGTTTTAAAAAACCTAATCCTTGCTTTGTTTTGTTTTATTTTTTTTTTCTCTGCTGTGAAAACTTGATTTTATCAAATCCATGAACATCTTTTTTAAATTATTATTTTTTATCTTTTTCTTCCTCCCCCCTCCTTCCTTCACCCGTAGACTAGATCCTGGTCTCCAGACAAGTGTCAGCTGGGGCATCAGGGACCACGGGGTTGTATGGCTGGTCAGAAACACTTGGCCCTGACCCAGAGCTCAAGGATACCACCCTGTCCAGAGGGCGGGCCAGGATGCCTACTGGCTGTCTTTCAAGGCTTGCTGCATTTTGGTTCCTCTTATCTCCTCTTGTGCAGCCCCACTACAAACTCACTGGGACCCAGGAGGGAGAAGCTTCAGGCCCATGGACATTGTAAAAGTGGATGACTCTGATTCCTTGTGAATAATAGCTACTTACTTACTTTTTATCTCAGTCTACTTTTTTTTTTTTTAACTCTTGTGTGTCTTTTATGGGGGAAGGAGGAGGATGTTGCCAAAGCAATATCTGCTCATTGTGTCATATTTGGCATGTATAAAAAATATTAACAAAGAAAATTATTTAAAAAATTATTCATCACCTCATGATTCAAACAGCTTTTGTTTTTGTTTTTGTCTTTGATTTTCAGTTTGTTCTTACCTATACAGAGTCTACCAAAAAAAAAAAAAAAAAAATTAACCAGGGTTATAAGTCAGTGATGCAGTATTTGCCCGGCAAGCACGTGGTCCTGAGTTCAATTCCTAGTACCAAAAAAATCTATACATTGGGATAAGAAAAACTTACACAGATAAATATTGTAATACTAATTTTTTGAAGCATCATGAGATTAATACAAGTTACCTTTGGCCTCTATAAATACAAGAGAGGCTCAATATAGTGGCCATTAGCTTCCAGACATTCATTAGTATGGTTACCTGCTGAAATTTGTACAACTTTTTTGGCAGACTGTAAATAAGCTCAGTGGTAGAGCATGTGTTTAGAAGGTAGGAGGCTTTTGGTTCAGTTGTACCAAAATAAACCTAAATAACCTAAAAGTACATATAACTGCATTTTGCCTGATTTGAACAGAAGTTGTTCTACTAGTCTTGTGAAGGGAAAACTTGTGTTCTATGCAAGACAGTTAAGTCATCCAGTTTTGTTTTCAACCCTGCTTGCTTGCAGGATATTAAGACTAACAAATAATCATCTTTTGCTGTATCTGAACTGACCTAGTTTTAAAGAAAGATTCTTTTGAACTATTCTTTTTTTTTTTTTCTTTCTTTTTTTTTGGATGTATTTGGTTGTTGCAGGGTCTCGCTACACAGCTCAGACTTGTGGTGATCCTCCTGCTTTCAGCCTCCTCAGTGCTGGGATTACAGGCACATGCCCCTATGCCTGGATTCTGGCTGGCTCAACCCACCTTGGGGGCTGGGGCTGCCATAGCACGTGGTGCTGAGGATCGAACTGTGGTCCCTGTGCTTGCCTACGCTTGCCTAAGCAGGTGCTTTAGTCTGCTGAGCTATCTCACTGGCCTTTCCCGAACTATTCTTAATACTTTCTTCTAATATTTGTTTTTATGACAATCTATTATGTATAAATCAATTAACTTTAATTTTGGGTTTTGAGATAGTGTCTCACTACATAATTCAGGTTGGTCCTCAACAGATAAGTGCAATCTAGGTGGATGCCTTCTGCATCCCCCTCCAAGATGCTAGGATGAAAGGCGAGTGCCATGACACCCAGACTTGTATTCGTTTCTTTTAAAAGTGCTATTAGCATTTTAATATTTCTTCTCAGTCTTTCATGACTCAGATATATGTAAGTTTGAGTCCAGATCTACTACTTGTAGCTGGGTTACTTAGAATAAATAGCTTCTTTAATACAAATAATCATAAGAACCTCTTAGGAGAGATGTGAGGTTAAATAAGATAAAGTATGTAGGTTATTTAGCATAATAGCTGGTACTGTGAATAAAGATGGTGGTGCTGATTGCTTTCATTTGTTTTTTATTTTTACTTTTTTTCTTAACAGAATACATCCAAGCAATGATTCTAGTGAATGATGCAACTATAAGTAAAAATTCAACATTGAAAAAGCGTATGTACACTTCTTACCCCACTCCTAGAGTATTCTCTTATATTTCCTTGCTCTAGTGTAAGCCATCCTTTGTATGTCACATTAACTAATGAAAATTTGAAACAAAATATAAGATCCACATTGCTAATTTATGTTACTTTCCTGTGTTAAATGAAAAATCTTACCCATCCAGAGATTGGAAATGCATGTGTCTTCTTTATATAAAGAATGCAAATAGAATTCTAAGATGAAAAGTACCCCTGCTTCTTATGAAGACATTACTAGGAAGGTACATTCTGTTTAGTGAGGTTGGTAGACAAGTTCCTTTTTTTTAAATTTCTTTTTTAGACCATTGGTCTTCTAAGGTACAAATTCTATTTAGAAGGTTCAAGGGCCGGCCGGATAGCTCAGGGCACTAAAGTGCCTGCTTAGGCAGAGTGCAGCAGCCAGGTTCAATCCCTGGCATGCCAGCCCTACCCTCAGGGTTTACTAAGTGGAGACTGAGACTGGGCATGGTGGCACACACCTGTAATCTCAACTCTTGGGAGGCTGAAAACGGGAATCACTATGAGTCTGATCTATGTAGTGGGACCCTGTAGACCCTATACTAAATATATAAAAAAAAATCTTAGAAGATTCAAAGATGACACACTAAAAAGCTTTCTCTTTTTAACACTTGTGACACTATACCAAGTAATTCTCCAGTTTTCTATAGACACCTTCATGTTCCACAATTTGGTTTGATTGTGACATTAACTACTCAGTTAATGGTGACTCCACAAGTTAAGGCTGAGTCCTCTAAGACTCATCTCCTGCTTCCGATGCCAGTCACAAATGCTCGGCTTCAGCTACTTTTGAGTTGGCTCCAAATCGGGTTCTCACAACCCGACTTAGGTTCAATAATTTTACTATAATGGCTCAAAGAACTCAGGGAAATGCTTCACCTACTATTAGCAGTTTATTTAAAGGATACAGATGAACAACTAGAGGAAAAGTACCAAAGGATGAAGTCTGGAAGCCCTCTAGTAGAAGGAGACTCTCTACTTGTTGAGTTTTAGGTATGTGTCACCGTCCCACCATATCGATGCTTTCCCTAACCTAAAAGGGCTCTTAAATCTATTATTCAGGGTTTTGGGGGAGGTGTTTTTTTGTTTGTTTATTTGTTTGTTTTTGAGGTCTCCTTACATAGTCACAAATGACAGAATCATTGGTCATTCATGATTAGATCAACTGCCTGCACCCCTCTTTCTGGAGATAAGAGACACAAATGTTTAGGACAGTTCTACTCCTATAATTACACTTTGATCTTTTCAGGGACTAGCCACCATCCTGGGGACTTATCACCAGTTATCACATAAGCATACAAAAGACCAACAGCACTCTGGAGATTCCAAGGGTCTTAGAAACTCTTAGGTCAGGAACTAAGAAGTGAGATCACATACTATAATAGTAGATGCTCCTCATCATTTAGGAAAGTACAGAGTTTTAGGTACTGTGTTTGAAACTGGGGCACAACAAATATGTATACTTATTGTTATTTGTGCCAAGACTGTAAAACCTGAGGGTTTTTTTAGTCAAAATCAAAATTCCATCAGTCATAGTGTATCACAAATTTCCTCCTGTTGAGACAGTACGGATTTTAATTAATACAGTTGGAGATTAGCAAGAGGTTTTAGTTTGTGCTTTACTGCCATAATTTGGAGCCTTACAACTTTTAAATTTTTAAAATATAGTCTAACGTTATCAGTCTGTTTTGCTTTATTTTTATTTTTAATCTTTATTTGGTACAGGATCTCGCTATGTATCTCAGACTTGTAGTAATCCTCCTATAGACATGCGCCACCATGCTGAGTTTCATTGGCCAGCTTGGTGTGGTGCCAGTAGGGTATGTGGTACCGGGGATTGAACCTAGGTCCTTAAGCTTGCCAATTAGGTGCTTAGACCGCCAAGCTATCTACCCAGGCTTCATCAGTTTATTGTAAAGAAAGTGTTTCTTTGTCAGAAGTATTCTCAATTTCAGTAAATGTAGTTTTATATTATATTCTTAAAAGCAGTATCATCAGGCCCTAACCTTTCAAAGTCAGTGAGGACCCAGCACATAAGAGAATCTGTACTGTAACATCCTATAACTCAGTTGTGTCCCAAATTTTCTGATCAAGGACATTATGGGGCCACAGAGGAACGTGATCGATGATGTAAAATGTGCCTAAGGAGAGTTACATGGAGGGAAAACATTCTCTCACGCTTTTACAGAGAGCAAATTACTCAAGCAATGGCCATGATTCATCCACATGGCTGACACTGACAAAGGATCTACAAACTGCTGTACAGGGTTTCAGGGTAAATCCTGAAGGGATTGAACAGACCTTTTCAGGTACAAAAGTTGCATTTCCTGTTATATACGTCTTGCTTTATCTTGGTCTTAACCATCCAGCAGAAAAGTATAAAAACAAGATATGAAAAGTAAAGCCATATTTATATGCTGAGCTGTAAAAGACTCAAGTCAGCAACTTCTGACATTGTCAGTCCTGTGGATAACCCACTACTATTATGGACTACTGGACTATATTGGATTATTTTGCTGAATTCACACACCTACAGTATTTAAATGGCAGTGGAATACCCATCTCTAACTAAACAAAAAAAGGGGATGCTAATGAAGGACCATTTTGTATCTGTATATACAAAATAAGATAGATATAAAGCTACTTTCTCTTAATTCAATGAGAAGAAAGATTTGTGCTAATAATAGTGTTTGGACAGTATATCATCTCTGCATCTGGTACTATGAATAACCACTACGAAGAGAACCATATGCAATGTACTAATTATTGAAACTATCCTACTAATCGGTTTTGAACCTGCCTCATTCTATTTGTATCTCAATAAAATTAATAAAAAAAACAGTATTTTCCACTCTATAGTATCCTTTGGTTAAATCTGGAATTATATGGGATGAAATCTTTATCTCAATGCCTAGCATTGGGAACTGATGAATGAAACTGACGAAGAGATAGATAAACAGGAGAAAAGATGTATAAGCTAATCAAATTAATTTCATGTGCATAGGAGAGTCATGTAAAAAGTGAATACCCAAAGCAGTACTGAGATTTGAGAGCTTATTTATTGTGCCATCCTAACAGAAACAGAGGACACTTGTGGAAGAACAGATGACGTACAGAAGTAGGGTGGGGAGAACCATGGGTGACTTTTGGAAGCTAAGTTGGTCCTAAAGGGAAATCATTGGGAGGAATGATAGTTCTTGGGGGTTTTTTTTTGCCATAATTTTATTGATAAATAGCAAAGAGACAATTTCAAATCAAACCGGTAGGACAGTTTCAATATTTAACATACTGCATACATTCTTCATTGTGGTTAATTGCTGTACAAGATGCAGACTTGATACCCCATTTACACACACCATTAGAACAAATCATTCTATTCATTAAGAGAATGTAACTATATATCTATCCTAACCACTTTGAATACACAGATACAAAATGGACATTC